CTGTGTCATAACCTATTGAGCTTTATTTTATTTCCTCTCCATACGCCTTTGTCTCTTTCGCACTACTATTAACGTTTGGGTTGGTGACGGTTAAGCATGCATGGCTGTCGACTACGACGTCTTCGTTATATACTTTCAGTCTACAGATAAGGAATCGTCCGGGAACTTTGATCTTCTCATGTACGACTAATCGTTCAGTGGAGTCCAGGCCTGCCAATATTGGCAATTGCCCAGAAGCTGTCTTACCGTTCATAGTCTGTTTTCTGCTACCTGAACTTAATCTCAATTTTTGTTTCAGACTGCAGCTTCCGAAAAAGTTGATGGTATCGTGGGCTTGGTAGATTACTCTGACGAGGAGAGCGATGAGGACACTGAGGACTCCCAACCCGAGGGCACAGCTTCTTCTGGCGCAGTAGCTGTATCTTCCCTGCCGGAAGTATCCGATGTGACAAACTGCGATAGCACAGAGGGTGCGCCCGTGGCTGACACTGAACAGCCGGAGGCCAAGAGTCCCCCCGCGTCTTCCCTAGTTGCTGAGGTCGAAACAAGTTAGGCACTCCCAACCTCGCTCCTCTGTATCATCCTCTCACCAGTCCCACATCTTACAAAAGTTGCTGTTTCTCCTTACCTCGTCTCTCCTTTATGTTTGTCATCTCATCAGTGGTCTGTTCATAAACGCGTCAGGTTATCCTATATTCCAAGTTCCCAATGCATAATGTAAAAGCCCTACCTTGTGCATAAACACTCACATCTCCTGTGCTGTAAATAGCTGTACACAAGTCTTTTACTGACGTTGTTGGTAATTAATATGGGCGAGAATCGCTTCCTGTAAAAAAGCAAAAATCGAGGAAAAAAACTGTTGGCAGCGCTCCCCCCTTGCCTTGCCGTGTGCGCGTTTATGCGGGCGCGGCTATCTCAACTCCGCACACACACACCCCCTCCCCCCCATTCCCAACCTATCACTTTCATTCACTGCGTCCAATTTCCCCGCTGACGACTAGTTTCGTGAGCGATCACACTTTGTATTCCTTAAAGTTTATAAGAAAATTCCAGATTTCAGTTTTTGTGACGGCTTTTGCATTTGATTCAAAATGAGCGCTTGTACCTTTTGGATTTAAAATTGACAGCTTTGTGTCTAGACTTTTCAAAATCTGGGCTTGTGTCTTGAGGAAGAATCGTAAAGTGATCGCTCTTCATACTGTCCATCCTCGGTGTAGTAGTCTACATAGGTATAGCATGTTCTCGTCCCGAAACGGGCCTAACTACTTCTTCCAGTATGTTGATCGTGATTCTCAAAAGGTGTAAAATAGTAATGCTTCAGCAAACCTTATGTGTCAGCTCTGTCGATCTGCTCGCTTTGGCTTCGCTGACTTTACCTAGGTAACCATTTTGTTTGTACGGTGGTGGCCCTGTTAAGCATGTCTCCACCCATCGAGCCCAACACCGCCGGCTCAGTCGTACTCATTCAGTTAGTTCCTGTGTCCACTGTTCGCGATATTCTCTTCCTGCGTTGGCGACAGATCTCGATAATCAAAGCCTTGTTGGCACTCAGTTAGTGGGGTCTGGGATCCCTCGTTGGGGATTGGCTGGTTCGGATTTTGTTGCAAGGGCATTTGTGGTACTGACTGGACCGGCTTCTGTGTGGGTAACCACAGTCGGTGTATCCGTCTCCGTTCGATTTGACCGTATGCAGTGCGAATCTGTACTATCAAAAGCATCCATACGTGAGTGCTGCTGACTCGGAAATGC